GATGAAGTGAATGTTGACATCGGCATTTCCGTAGAACGACCTGTAACGCATATCGGTATGCATATGTGCTATAAATTTTATTTAAACAATTAACAGCAGCAATATATTACTGTCGTGTGCAAATTTGCAATGTTCGCATTCCCATCTGTTTGCATTTTATCCCGATTCATATAACATATACACACAAACACCTGGTGAGTGTGTCAACCCATCGAATGCGTATATATGTATAATTAAAGACGAAACAAGGTAGCGTGAATGCGAATGCTACTGGAACAAAATAGAATTTACCTTCTTTCTTCAAAACCCTATTTCTTAATGCGTGGCAAAGACAAAATGATCAATTAAATTTATTACCGTTTACAAAGCACCAGCAACTTAAATATCGCCATTGAATGCTCTCGAAATGAAGAAAGTGTTAAACTATGTGAACATGTTCACAATGTGGCTGCTCTTTTATTTGAAATTGAAACGACACGAAGAAGAAAAAAAGAACAACAACGCACACAATTGATCTCATGGGTATCATTAGACCCAAACACATACACATACTGGCATCATTCATTGAAAATTCACCCTTTCATTTCACAAATTCGCTTTGCAGCCATACCTTAATTTTCTATTAGTAGCATCGGTAAATAAATTCCGACGAAAATCGAACAACAACAAAACGATAGCGTCATCGTACATCGATGTATTTGTATTTTCGTGTTTGTTGAAAGAAGCAATTGAACAATCAAGCGATAAAAAGTTTTTCGATTTTTCACCGTTGCGCGCTGAACAACCATACAATATTCTGTTCACGTGAAATTCAATGGCGAAAAATTCCATCATGAAAATAGTTAAAATAAAATCGATACATTTAGCAAGAATACAAGTATTACTAAATTGAATTGAACTCGGTTTTATTGGTAGAAATCACGTTTTTCTTTTTCAACGTAAGTACATTTGGTGCAATTTATTGGCCTCTTTTTTTAAATCTATCTCATGCTTGAATGGCATTTTAAAACAAAAATATATATCGAATTTTTCAAATTCGTTGAAAAAATTTCTACTCACTAATCACAAAAGAGCAATATGGAGTTGGAAGAAGGAAACTTGTACTCGATGTTGAAAATGGCCGGAAACGGCAAATCCATTAATTCTCGTTTGAATACGGATTTGGCAAAAATATTGTTTCGCGTTTTTTTAAGCAAAATTGGTAACAAATTGAAGATAAAAATTGAATGCTGAAGTGTAAATGGTAATATGGACCGACATTTTAGCAAATAAAATGTCTTTGAGCAGTTCAACCAATTTGTGAATCATTGATCGAAAAGAAGCGATGATTTTGAAGATAATCAGAATAAGTACACACAGATTGTAGATCGGGGACAAATGACGAACAGAGACAACTAAACTGCGCCAAATACCAAACTGCAAAAATACACACTCTAAAAACTAAATTGGTAAATGGTTGAACACATTCTGCATTCCAATCGTGCGTGCTTTTGTGTACGCTGTACACTGACAATTTCGCTTGCGGTTGAATGGGCAGTTGATGTCGCGACCACCGTATGTGCTTCACGATTTTTACTCGAATTTGAATTATTGGTGTTTTTGTTTGTTCGATTGGTAACGTTTATCTTCTGCTCTGTTGAATTTTTTTTATTGCTTGACTCAGTCAACCATCGCGGTACGTGCATATAAAGTACGTACAATGACTGACATAGACGGTCCAATGTTAAATTTGTTTCATTGGTAAAATAAATATTTATATAAATGACAAAATAAATGTTCCAAAAAATGGATGTTGGCCTTTTTTGTTGTCTGTTGATGTTGTTGTTAGTGTTTTCCGTGATTTTTTTTGTTTTGTTTTCTGGCTGAAATAAATATATTTATTTTATTGGCGTTTTAAAAATCACTAATAGCTCTATAGAACAGATGAGTGTGCACACACGACGCGACACGTAGTAATTTAATTTATAAAATTTTGCGTTCACCGTAATTATATTACAGTGGACAAGCACTTGTGCTGGTTAAACAAATTGTGCATACAAATGAGTAAATGTGTACTTTATTTTCGGCTACATCGTCACTATTATTTTGCTTTGAGCTATTCCATTTATCACATAATTCGATTGATTGAAATGCGCAAGTTAATGCCATTTAGTGCAAGAGATGAACGACTTCATTGTTATGAAGGCCCAATAAACCCCATTTAAATTCGACATTTTCATTTCGTTTTTCTCTCTAACACTCCCAAACAACAAACACACTACAATTGTCTAGATGAGCAGTTTGATTTGGCTTTTTATTAGTTTATAAAATGTGTCTTTGCATTTCAGTATTCACAATTATTGTGCTATTGTGCTACCATAAAATGAAGCTCACGCAAAGTTTTTCTTTGGAAACACTGTTGAAATTTGTTGAAAGAGTTCTTTGATGCAGAGAGACAAATGCTTGTCTCTTGGTGGCATCGTGCAGTTCTCGGGGGATGTAAATAAACGGTATACTTTTTTGCGTTACATGCAATAAGCACCAAAGTAGTGTCTGATTATCATGTAAACAAGAAATCGATTGAAAATCCCCATTGGTCACACAGTGTGTGCAATGTTGCATGTAAGCAAGCGCTAGGTACAATGTGCCAACACAAAACGGCCAACATAAACATAATGCAATCACTTGCTGTATTTTATTGACTTGGGCCATTGCACGGAATAGAAAAGTAGAAGCAACAAATTGTTTTATCGTCCTCAATGACTGTTCCGTTCGCCTTTACAGTTGTTCTTTATATCCTTTTATTGAAGTTATCGCATTTTCAGAGATTTATGAGACTGAATTAAATACACTTTATTACATCGAAAGCGCCGCGTCTATGGCCGACTATAGTCGATATATATATATGAGTATTTGTGTAAGAATGTGTGAAAATGAAACCAACAAATAGCAACCTTTTAAAAACTCGCAAATAATTCAAGTGGCTTTCAAGGCTGAAATATTTTCTTGTTCCCTTCACTCTCTCGTTGGATACGCTTCTTTATATTTTCCTCCGATGAAATCCAATTTTATACAATTCTATAATAATAACAACCAGAAACTTTGGTAACATTTCTTCTGTTGATTCTTCTTCTTCTCATTTTGTGTGCCATTAGTGAACGAATCGACTGCATAAATCTATCGAACTGAATTCGCTTTCAATACAAATTCAATTTTTTTTACACTGTGTAAAATTGTCGGTGTTTTATTTTTTCATAAAAGGTTTTCACTGTTTTTATTTTCACAATTTTCATGCAACAATACAAAAAAACATACACACCCACTCGCAAGCATTGAAAACTGTTAAATAGTATTGACTGAGCACAATGCTCTTGAATAAATTCAATTTTTGGATCTTTGTTACGTTATTATCGCTTGGCGATGTTGTTTTGCTGCCATTTTCTCATCACACGTTGTATACATGCTCCGAGATTCGTATTGTTCTCTTTTAGCATTGCTTATCGGGCTTCTGGTTTTCCACCAACTGCGGGAAATTCGAAAAATGACGAATAGAAAAAAAGAGCGAACGAATGAGAAAAACACGAAGAACGCATAAGCACCGCTGCACCATTTGACGTATTTTTGTGTACGATATTTACCATTTCACGTCGCATCGAGAAGAAATATTATTTTCGATCAGACAAATGCTTCATTCAGATTCAATAACCTGAATGCAGTTTTCCATGTCATTTGTGTCTGCTGTAAATGGGTACGATTGGTCTTTATAGAAAAATATCATTTTCGGATTTTATTTACAGATGTTCAATCGAATGCGATATCTGCATTGGATGCGAGACGGAATGAAAAATGGTACGATAGCAATAATTTCCACCGTTTTCCGTATATTACGGTCTTTTTTTACATATATTTTCTATGTGTTGTTAGGCTAAAATTTGTGAAAAACACACATACACACTCGACTCTCACCCAATATGTGGCTCCACATTGGGGAGAAATCGCATAAAAGTTTGATTCTCTTCCAATAAAATGTCCAGCTGTTATGAAATCAGATCCGGACTGATGAAGATTTTTTTATGCTAAATGCGATAACAGATTTCAGCCTCTAATTCATATCGTGTATATAGAATAGTGTAGATTCAACTAAAATGAGAAATTAAAAAAATCAAATCGTTGTTCAAGCTGTGCTAATGCGTCAGTTTTTCAGGTAAATTGAATTAAAATCGTGATTTTTATTTCAAACAATAAATCAAAATGTTTTTATGTGTATAACATTCAGTTGACCTATCAATACTTTTCCATAGAAATTCTATGCGAGTGGTCTTTTTCTACTTTGCACAATTTTGCCATTTTAATAATTAAAATGAATGAGATTTGAGAAAGATAGATTAAGATCTATATACGTTAGTATTTGATTCCATCCTCGGCAATGTCTATATTATTGACAATGAATGGATATATAGATAACGGTATAACGCATAATTTGTTATGAAAAAAAAAAATTGGAATGCGATTGCGTCGTATAATATAAATTGCAAACAAAAATCATATTTATCTCTTTGGAATGGGTTATAATGATGCTCTTTGCGAACGCCCCGAAAAGAACCAGATTATAAAACTTGAACGATTCACATCAATACATATAATAAATCGATAGACATTTGGCTAATTCATTTATGATACACTTAAGATTTGCAGACAAGTTTCAAGCGGCATTTATACTTTTGTTGTGTATTTTCGCTATTGTTATACTTTTATATTGTATTTTTATTTTAATTTAAAATGTTAAACTTGATCATAAAATTAACTTCTTACATTTTGTCGATGATAAACAAATTTATTCAAAACAAAAAAAAAAATTTGCACTTGGTAAACAAACGACGAAGAATGTGTCATTCGTTTGCTAAAAATGGCGTTGAGAAAATGTAAGAGTGAAACAATACTTCACTTAATTGCTATGGAGCTGCTATTGAGTGACACCAGCTGAATATTTCCCAAAGTGAAAACTAAACAAATTTTAATACCAATTCATACACGTTATGAGCACGTATTGTCTTGTTGCCTTCAATTCGGTTGGAAAACTTCACGTCAATTAATTATAGCGAAAGTGCTGCACGTCCGAATTTTGAATAAGAATTGACTGTGTCGAAAAGTTTCAATGACTAAATGATGACTTTACTACTGTGTGTGACTTCGGCTTGGGTTCGATTAATACTAACTTTGATTCCCAGTTGCATTTGAGTTTTGTAAGAATATGTTCAAGAGAACTTCAAGAGAGAGAGAACGTGTTTCAAGTGGCGAAACTAAAACAGAACAACAAAAAAAGTAACGCGCGCAAAAAGAAAACAAAGCAGGCATACGAAAACAATCACATGTTAAACGCTGGACGAAAATCAAATCATGGGCTATCGCTGTCAGAGACATGTGTGTGCGTCAAAAAAAAGATATGAACGAAAGAAGACCGACCAATTTCAAACTCAACAGTCTATAAGCTCGACTTGTTTTGCGAGAGAATATCGTTTGTTGAACTTTTTGTTGTTTTTAAATGTTTTGATTTCGTACAAGTTTTTTTTGTCATTGATATTCGGATTGGTCTTCAACATATGTTCGTAGGTTTTACGCCTGTTTATAGGCTACACTTATGTATTCAATTCGAATCGGTTTTTTGGTTGCTTTACCGTTGGTTATTCGGGTGGATGACTACTCAAATGTCCGCACATGAAAATATTTTTTCGTGTTGAATATGTATATTTACTGTACCAAAGGTGTAATTCACTGTACCGAAAACCATTCGAAAGTGTACCACATAGTTTGGTCA